CTTGTTCAGGCATAGTTTTATTGGAGACTACCTTTTTAGAGGAGAGCTTAGATCAGGGTATCATCTTTTTTTTGACTGTGCATCTTTGCTAGTCTTTTTTGGACTTGGCATCCTAAGTTGACTAGCTTGCCATCCAACAAAACTACCCATCACCTCTCCAACAATCCCTGCATCCTCGATGGGAATAGGTAGTGGATAGTTCAAATCCTTCGGCACATCAATAGCAACACGTACATAGGATGCAGGGAGTGGCATATTATGTAACATGTCTCCTGGCAAATTGAACACCTGACTAATAGCAACCACATGACGATTCGAGCTATTTGCCAACAACTCACATAAGTTCTCACCCTATATTAATAAGTAATATACTATATTAAAGTTATGGGAAATAGAAATAGTGAAATATAAGTGAAATAAATTAATAATGTTTTACCTCAGGGAGATTTTTAATAGGCTGCATGACACTGTAACTACCTTTCCCGCTAGGACTAATATGAAACTTTGCCTCCTGCCTCTCCTTGTCCTTTAGCAAAGCTTCAATCATGTCTCGTTGCCTAGATAGCTCCTCTTTCAGGGTGGCAATCTCAGCCCTTACACCCACATCCTCTGTTGACTTGCTTTCTTCTGTGACTCGAATATTTGTTTTTTCGAGACACCAAAGCCATATCCCCTAACTCGACTAGGGTGTTCGGGATTACCTAACGCCTTGCCCAAGACATCATCATCAGGCGTGCCACTTTTCTCAATCTCGGCCTATGCAATATATAGTAAGAAAATTAAATTAGTTGATTGAGTATAAAAAAAGTGTTAAGTTAATGTACTTACACACTTGTCAGCAAGCTCCTAAACACGTTAATCAACAATGTTTCCTTCTTTATTGGTTCGGCCTTCTATGAATAGTCTGTGACGTGAAACTGAGCTTGCCCTTGAACCCTCTTGCTCGATCTATGAATTTAAGTAAATTTAAATGTGAGTATAGTACATATATCCACGAAATAAGATAAAATTATATACTATAAATATTAACTTACTATTTATTGCTCAATTCCTACATATCATATGCGCCCTCTTTCTTATGCAACTCTTTCTTTTTGTGGCTCAACTCCTGTGTAAAACACAAAAAATCATATCAATAAAATTAAATATATCAAAAATAATAAAAATTAATTCATCTCATTATTCTTACTTGAAATTGTCCCTCAAGACGTTGAGCAACAAATTCATCCCACTGTTCTTGTGATTGGAATAAAATTTTCCATCAACACATGGCAATCATGTGACTTTAAACCCTTCAACTTCAATCCTTTAATGATACAAGGCCCTTAATATTTGAAGAGTACCCCTCTAGAATTTTAATAGTAGCAAGCGACTCACAAAAAATCTTCTTTTCTCTTCTAGACAATGTATGAGCTGCTGCACGAAGAAATATGCGACTTCCCTTCTCTTGCGAAGCCAACTCTTCCCTTATCCCCATGGAAATCATATCAAGTCTTGCCTTGATGCCATCTTTAGTCTTTCCTGAAATATGAAGTAATGTACTAATCAAACTGTCACACACATTTTTCTCAATGTGCATCACATCAAGAAAATGTCTCACATATAAAGATTGCCAATATGGTAGGTCAAAAAAAATAGACCTTTCCTTCCACCCACATGTCCTAAGATGCTTTGCAAAAGGTTTGCCAAACTCGATATTCAAATTCTTCACCTTGTCAAAATGTTGCTCACCTATCAATGGCAAAGGTGCCTTACTTTCTTCTGAATTCCCATTGAAAGCTTTTTTTAGACGTCGGTAATAATGATCAGGATGCAACCATCTACGATGTTCGAGATAGACATTCTTCATCCCATGTTCTAATCTCACTGAATATGTGCCATCTTCATAAATAGGACATCCAAGTTTTCCTTTGATACTATACCTTAATAAATTACCATATGCTAGAAAATCATTGATTGTTCCAAACAACAATGCTCTTAAATTGAACCTTTCCTCTCTATGTCCATCATATACCTCAACACCGTGCTCCCACAACAATTTTAAATCTTCAATTAAAGGAGCCAAATATATGTCTATATCATTTCCCGGCTGTTTTAGCCCTGAAATTAGAATGGATAGCATCATATATTTTTGCTTCATACATAACCATAGAGGTAATTTGTAAATTACCAAAATAAATGGCCATGTACTATGACTGCTACTTTAAAGCCCATGTGGATTCATTCCATCAGTAGATAATACATGGCGAAGGTTTCTATCTTCTGCTCCAAAGTCAGGGTAATCGAGATCAATTTTTTTCCTTTGAGAAGAGTCAGCTGGATGTCGAAGCTTTCCATCTTTGATCTGTTCATCCGCATGCCATGTCAAATTTTTTGCATCATTTGCACTACTGTACGGCCGTCTAAATCTAGGTATAATGGGAAAGTACCATAATGCCTTCTTTGGACTCTTCCCATTCTCTTAATAGCGTAAGGCATTACATTTTGGACACTTCATTAATGATGCATATTCATTTCTAAATAATATGCAATCATTAGGACAGGCATGTATTTTCTTATAACTCTTGCCAATTGAGCGTAGCATTTGTTTTACCTCATACATAGTCCTTGGAAGCTCATTGTTCACAGGTAGAAGTTGTTTTATAACTGTAAGATTTTCTGTAAAGCTCTTATAACTCCATCCATTGCTTACTTTTAAGTTGTACAATTTCAACACTGCTGACAACTTTGTGAATTCAGTGCAACCAGCATACAAGGGCTTCTCTGCATCACTTTTCAACATCTTTAACATTTCAGGACAATCCTCAAGTTTCCTTTCAATTGCATTGGCCATCTCTTCAAGACAGTTACCCTATAAGTATCTGAGTTATGATCGTCTGATTCAAAGCTTCCTTTATACTCCCAATTACTAGTAGACTCATCCCCTCTAGTCTCTCCATGCTTATGCCAATACTTGTAATTTTCATCAATTCCATAGCACACTAAATGGTCTTCCATCTCAGATGCACTAATTTGCTTCAAAAGACCACATCTTACATAAGGGCACACTATTCTTCTAGGGTCTTTTACATGCTCAAGAGCAAACTTCATAAACTCTTTCACACCATTCAAATACTCTTTACTTAATCGATTGGAAGACATCCATTCTCTATCCATAACTTTATAATCTAAAAGATAATTCATTCAAGGAAATGTGATCAGTGACTCATGAATATAGAGATAGGAAAGGAATGATAGAAAAATTATTAATAAAGAAATTGACTACTGTACATATAATATAGAGTAATTAATGAATCATGAGTCACAATGTATGAGCATTCACATACTCCTTTAATCGTCGATAAAAAATTCGGCAGCATAACAACATAAAAAAAGTATTTCTCGGGCTAAAACCCTCTTTTCATTCTTGGCTCAACAAACTAATTCCAACTATATACAATCACAAAACCAATGAAATTCTCACAAAATAGCATTTTCAAATTAACTCTAATTATTATAAAATTATATATAAAATTCGTTCAAAATTCATAGAAAAAAGAAAAACACTATAAACATCATTTTGAATCAATGTTTTCTGTCTCATTGATCATTCTAAGATTACACATATCCTATATTAACAATCTCAAGCCAAGAACAAATCATTCTTTACCAAATGTAAAAAATTCAATAAAATAGCAATGATTTTTACAGAAACCGTGTGTCAGTTTTCGTCACTAAGATAAACTCCAATTGTAATAAAAACTGGTACACTAGTACATTTCAATATGTAGTTTTGAATAATAAACTACTCTGATCAAACAATGCACAAAATTTAAATTAAAAATTATTGAAATAAATCAGTCAAAATTCATAGAAAAATACAATCATCACAAATATCCCATTTTGATCACTAATTTTCATCTTAATAATCATCCTAAGGCAAAGCAAATCATCTACAATCATTCTCAAGTCAATAAAACACCAAACATTAGCAATTTTCAACAACCCACAATATTAAAATGGGCAAAACATGAGGAGATATTTAAACAACAAAAATCAACTAATAAAACAATCCATAATCTCAAATAAATCAATTCTATAATCTAGAAATCTAAGCATATTGGAAGAAAATGAAGAAAAACCATAGAAATTACAAACCCATATACCTTAGAGAAGAGAGGATGAAACACAAAGAGGAAGCCAATGAGAGAAGAACCTGACGGTGTAGGAAGAGTACTTTCATGCCGACAAGGGACTACAGTGGTCGACGACAAGAATGAAGGCTGATTGAGAGATTTCTATCGATTTCTTGTAGAAGAGGAGAAGAGAGAAAACAGGGACGACGAACGGGCGGGAATGAAAAAATGAACCTGAAAACTGAAATAAAAAGGGAATAAATGACGGGTATTTATATACCCGTCATTTATTTCCATAATATATGACAGGTGTTTTAACACCCATCATATATAAGGAAGGCTTTAAATGACGGTTGTTTAAACAACTGTCATTTAAAGCCTTACATTTTTTTATTTTTTTAAATAAGAAAAATCAAACGTTGGCCACGAATATATGACGGGCGTTTGAAAACCCGATCATATATAGTTCTGGACTTTAAATGACGGGTGTTTTAAACACCTGTCATTTAAAGTTTTAAAACTTTTTATTTTTTTTATTTTAAGAATTTGAAACGGCGGGCACAAATATATGACAGTTTTTTCTATAACCGTCATATATTGTTTAAACTTTATATGACGGGTTTTAAAATACCCGTCATTTAAAGTTCAAATTTATTTTTTATTTTTTTTCTTCTAGTAAATGAAATGTTGGGCTGAAATAAATGATAGGATTTTTTAATACCCGTCATTTAAAGTCTAGTAATATATGACAGTTTTTTTAAGGCCCGTCATTTATTTGATCACCATCACCCGCCTATCTCATATATGATGTGTTTTTATTTGACCGTTATTTTTTATGGCGTCTTATATTTACGTTTTTGTAGTAGTGTGACTTTTTTCACTGTAATGTTTGGTGCTGTTGTTGATATATTTTCAGCGGGGATAGCTCTTAGCGACTTTTTGTCACGGTTAAAAACATTCAATGGTAACTTTTGTCATCGTTGAAAGTTAATTTTTTTATAATGTATCATATGCAAGTGAGGAGGATTTTAAGACAATTATTTAATTTTTTATTCAAAAAACACTTGTACTTGCGGTAGGCTGCCATCAAAATATTGAATGGTTTTATATATATATATATATATACATATATATGTAGTTTCCATTTCTGGGTTATAATGTCAATGCTCAAATCATCTTTTGATGTAGCTCTAGCACTTCTCTCTTTGCATACCATAGTTGTTTTTTCAATTCTATGAAAATTTAAAAACAAAAGAATTTTTGTCATAATTGAATACTTGATTCCTATGGCCGCACTAATAATAAAATTCATTGTATAAGATCACACACACATATATTAATATATAGGTGATCCATTATATTAGACCTCAGCTTGAATAAGTTTTTATTTCAAGAATAAGGAGAGGGTGTTCGTTTTTCATGTGAACCATCTATATCAATTTTTAATTATCCATATTTTATTCTAATTTTTAATTGATTGGTGTTTTTGAAGATGTCAAATTTAATTGAATTGTGTCGTGAGAGCTTATCCATATTTAAGGAGGAAGCACTATCAATCGATATATATCTACAAATCTTATAGAATGAAGGTGATTGGTTACAAATATCTTCTCTCTCATTGGTCAATATATTTTTGGTATAATGTTAATTATTCTCTCTCATTGGCCCATTAATTTTTGTATAATCAATTTAATTTTAACCTAATATTAATATTACTATTTCATTGGTTGATGTGATTAAATATTTTTTCTCATTGGTTAGCATAATTTAATTTATTTATTTTTATTTATTTTAAATAATTTTTATCTTTTCACTGGACGAGAGCATTAAATTAAATTAATAAATAAATAAATAATTAAATATATAAATCTTGTAGGATGAAGGTGTTTAGTCATAAATCTCTTCTCTCTCATTACTCAACATACTTTGGTATAATATTAATTATTCTCACCAATTGGTCTAGTAATTTTTGTATGATCAATTTAATTTTAGTCTAATATTAATATGAATATTATTATTTCATTGGTTGACGTGATTAAATATTTTTTCTAATTTGTTGATAGAATTTAATTTATTCTTTTATTTATTTTAATTAATGTTTTTCTTTCTATAGGATTAGAGTATTAAATTCTATTTCAAAACTTCCTTAAGTGATTTATTACGAGAGTGTTAATTATGTTGTTTCCCATACTTTCGAGTCTCGCTAGAGAGTTTTTGTTTCTAGTACAAAAATATCTTTGTGTCTATCAATTTCATATGTCTTAATTGATCATTGATCAGCCATTCTCCTAAATGAGTTTGTTGCCGATGGTGGAGAACTGGGCGGTCGGGGTGGAGGAGTTTCAAACCTCTTTCTGACCAATGTTAGGGAGAGGAATCTCATAGCTTCAATCTGATTAGTCAAGAAAAAATGACTCTTATTGCATTAGTTAATAGATTTTAGGCTAATGTTAATGCGAAAATTTTTCTTAATTCATCAATGAGATTTAATTTATTTTTCTATTTTTTATATATTTTCGGTCTATTTTCATGGGAGCATTGATTCAAGAATAATTCCATTTTCAAATTTCTATGATCATTAGCATCAACTCCATTCTACTATCTTCCTCTATTTGCTATACTTTCTCATGCCTTTTGTAATGACTATAAATTTTGAATTAAATAAATTTCTCTGCTAATTAATATTTTATTAAATTGTTCCAATTTAACAAGTAGATGGTGATTATTTATTAGAACTTAAGCTAGCAACTTACTGGAAGATTCAAAGTTCAAATTCTCTTAAGTAATAGGCTAATTTTATTTTATCATGGTCATGAGAAAATTACCAAAAAAAAATTAAAGAGAAAATGCCTTACCTCTTATGTTATAATATATAAAAAAATTTGGGTCCATCCTTGTAATTTTCTCAATCCTCTCTTTTTAGTCAGATTTTTTCTTCTTCCTCTACCATTTAAGCGATAGAACCTATGAGAGAGAGGGAGAAAGCGTTCGAAATTTCCTTTCATTTCTTCATCAATATGCTTCTGCGTATCTTGCCGTCGATTATCATGCTGTCGCCGTTGCTGCCTGATATTCTCTTCTCCGTTATCATTATTGCTTGTTGTGGGGGTCGAATCACTGAATCCTTCTCCCCTGTCGTCCACTTCTGCTTCTTCCTTCTTTTATGCTGGTGCGAGCGTGTTTCTCTTTCTCCTCAGCTCTGCAGTTGCACGCACGTGGGGTAAGTTTCTTGTTTCTTTTCTCTTTTGATTGAAGATCTGCCATTTTCCCCTGTCTCTAGCTGTCGTTGGTTTTTGCATTTTTGTTTTGTTTTCTTCTAATGCGGGTGGTTGTCGGTCACAGCTATGAAGGCTGTGGCTAATCGGTGTGAGAGCCAGAAAACTTTGGTGCCCAAGGTCTTCGAGTCTTCGGTCATCCTCTTCCTTCTTGAGATAGCTCGTTATTGCTGTAAGTGTGTTTTTCTGCTGTTATTATGCCTGAGGTTATACATATTTTGTGCCCTGTAGCTGCCGTACAGTTGGAAAGAGGAGGAGATTTAAGTTTGAGCTGGAAATCATCTTAAAGCCTGGTAATAATATACATATGGGATTGACCTTGTTTAAATTGGTTAATAGTGAAGAATTAGTTAGGATTATGTTAAAAGAGATGAGATGTGGGACTTGAGAAATAATGACTATAAGATGATTGTTGAAGTGCTTGGTAGAAGAAATTGAACTTGATTTTTGAATATTTATGGAGATTCATTATTCTTATAGAAATATGAAATTTAATTTGGAAGTTGTGAAGGATATTTGCTTATGAAAGTTGTAATGGGATCTCATTAGAATTTTTGAAGAGGGATAGTTGTTGATAAAATATTGAATGTTAGCATTTCTATGAGTAGATTGGAAATGATTTATGTTAAGTGTATTAACCAAATGCTAGTGAGGATTATTCTTTTTCAAAAGCCTCAAATGTATTATAGTTTAATATTAGTAGTGAGTGAGGTTGGAAAAGGATTGAATAAAATTTTAAAAATGATTTATAGGGAGTTCGAAAGAGGAAAAAAAAAAAAGAGATTGGATTACAGTTGAGGGCAGAAATTTAAATTCTAAAAATTTTAGGTAAGTGGATAGCGTTCCAACTAATTTATCAGTTAATTTTTCTTATTAAAATTTATTTTGTTACATTGATTATTTTAATAATTATGTTGATTAGTGGATACTTTGTTAATTAAATTTCTTCATTTTTAAGTTTTAAGAAATATTACATTTTTCTGCAAATCATGCTAATAGTAATAACATGATTGTTGGAGATTTTATTGATGAAAATTACTTTATTTTGTGAAATTAGCTTTATCAAATTTGAAATGCTAGTTACTCAATAAATATAAGTTTGGATTTCAATTATGAAATTTTATTTTGAAAATTATTGAATTGCCATGGAAAACGATTCATGCGAGTTTGAATTTGAGAATAAGAATTGTGACTTGAAAGTGATAATTTTCTCATATGTTTAGAAATGGTTTTAAAAAGGGACTTTATACAGAACACTGGTTGCTAACAGCAGCTCCATTAGTTCTTGGCGTGCGATGGTACACCTAGCTAGCAGGGTGTTTATAGAAGGTGCTAGCCCCATGCAATGGCCAACGCACGTGGAACAGAGGGATGAGTATTCGTGATCATCGTACTCACGTTTGTTTCATAGCTTCAAGCTGCGTTTGGTTAGTATTACCCTCGTGGATTGTGTGTCCACGTTTGTTTTGTAGCTTCAGCTTTGTTTGGTTATTTACCCTCGTGGACTGTGTGTCCACATTTGTTATTTGCTCTGATAAGTCTCTATAATTATGATTTTTTAATTATTTGATAGACCTATTTTTCATTGACTTTGATTAATGACATATTTATAATTATTTATTGCAATTATTTGCTTTATTGAAAATACATGATAATGGCGTTTGATATGATACTTTAATGAATCAGGAATTTATTTAAAGTTATATAAAGTCCTTTTTTGACAAAGTTTATTATATATTCGTTTGCAAAATTTTTTATTTTTAACACACATAATTATGTTAAACTTTCTTTTATACATATTTAATTATTTATTGTTGGGATGCTATTCACTAGAAACTTATTTGGTCTCAGATTCATTAACTGGTGCTGATTCTACTGTTGACATTTAAAGGGTGAAAATTTGTTCTGGGTGGTGGTATTTTGCTCAGCATTATCTCCTTTTTGACATAAACAATTGAACTGATGAATTTTATTTTGAAAGCAAGGTTAGTTAGCTTCACATAGCCTATAGCTCAGTTTCTATTTTGGTATATGTTATTTGTTGGCTAGAAGGAGCTGAGCTCCTGATTGAAATTTTCAACATAATAATTTTATTAAACATGTTATAATTTTTAGTACAGATTCAACTATGTTTTAAAATATATATATATATATATATATATTAAATTAGGGCTTAAGGAGTGTGTAATATGGTCCACATTCCGTGCCGGTCACCCTCTGTTATTGGGCCGTGAAACCTTTTCAATTTTTCTAATCAATGAGATTTAATTTGTTTTTCTATTTTTCACTTATTTTCAGTGTACTTTCACAAGAGCATTGATTCAAGAGCAGTCTCATTTTCAAATTTCATTAATTGTCAGCATTAACTCCATCCGTCTATTCTTCTGCAGTTGCTATACTTTTCCATGCCTTTTTAATTTTCCTAATCAATGATATTTAATTTTTTTCCTATTTTTCATGTATTTTTCTGATTTGTTATACTCAATATTAATCAACTTTCCTAACTATCTTAAACATTATCTGTAAAAAGAAAAAAGAAAATAAAAAGAAGTTTAAGTTTGATTTGGATCATCAATCTTTATTTCATGGTCTTGGCCCTTCAAATCATGCATGCTTCACCATACATTTTGCATTGACAAGATAATGCAATGACTTTTTGTCTTTTCACATAAAAGAAGTGAGGTAAAAACGATTTAGCGAACAATACATATTCAATTCTTTTACCATACATACATGCATATATACAAGAAAAAATACATCTCTTCTTCTTGATGAGGAACAAATAAGAGTGTGTTTTCTTATGCATTCTAGGCACAAATCCATTTTGTTCCTTCAGACCTTTAATATGTATAATATTTCTAAAAGGTTTAATAATTTAAAATATTAGCAATAAATTTTAAATTTCGCTAAAGACAAGATGTGTACAAATGAAATATTCAAGAAAAAAAATAATTGAATAAAGAAAGTTTTAAAAATTTAACTATCTTAAATGTGTCAATATCTATCAATGATATTTGTTTCAAATTTTTTAATTCTAACTCGTGCAATGCACGGAAACTGTCTAGTTCAAGTTTAAAACTTATATATGTTATTAAACGAGTAAGAATGTAACATCATGACGAGCTTTAATGTTTTCAAAAATTAAATCAATATTTTTGAATTTTTTTAAAAAGGGTTTCCAAGTTAAAACAATATTCCTAGACTTACATTTTGTATTATACAATGTTTTGAAGTTTTGGAAAGTTTCTAAAATGATTTCAAGTTGAATTGAAGTTAATCAGATGGACATTGAAAGAAATAAGCATAGTTAAAGAAAGAGCATTCTAGAAAGGCACAACAAAAAAAGAAAATGTGTAAATTGTGCCGTTTGTATTCAATCACCATATGAGGGTTTACATAGAATAAAATGAGATATACTAATAAATATCAAATAAATCTATAATAATTATAATGAATTAAATGTGATTGATCAACCTAAACAGAATAGGAAATTACAATAAATGGAAATCATAGATCAATTATAATCAAATCACATTCAACACTATACCCTCCCTCAAACTCAACATACCCTTATGCTTTGTTTGAACGGGGAGAAAACATAAGAGGAAAGTCAATATGGGAAGAAAATAGGAGAGGAAACAACTTTTTCCCTATTTGGATGAGAAAGAAAATGTGGAAGGAAGGAAAAGTGGAGAAGAAAATAGGGAGTGGGACCCACCATATTTTCTCTCCACAAATGGAGAAATTTTAGGAGGAAAATTTTTATTCCACATCTACCATTCTACTTCTTTGCACATGAGATTTTACTTCATCATCTTCTACCCTCTATTTTTTGCCTCAGGACATCAGTGCTGTAATTCACATCGTATGTGCTATAATAATTTATTTGCTACACCATAATAAGTGATAACAATTATCATAAAAACAATTTAATGCTGATTCACATAATTTTTATGATTATAAAAGTGTTTGGCTTAAATATTAGTGACCTTGCATTGCTCTGTTTTAGCACTATGCATATCTCCATCTTCTCTACAAATTGCATATTTTTATAAATGTGTGACTTTCATATTTTTATGATATTATGTATATATAATTTATTCTTTATGTTATAGTTCCATATGCTTTCTGTGGAACTCATGACTATAGGTAAAAGCAAAATGCTCTAACCAACAAACCAAAAGCTGAATTGAAATTTATTTATTATATTTAAATTGAAAAAATTATCCACTTTTTAATTTTGCAAATAGAAAATAACATATTTTTATTAAATTATTTGGTTTTAAAATATAATAACATGAAAGTAATTTCTACCAACTAATTTGATTTTAAATTATTTTGATGATGTTAATTTTTATATAATGTTTGCTTTCAATATTTTTTTGTACATATAATTACATTAAACATATATATTATGATATAAAGGTATTATAGTCATTGTGATATTTGCTCATTTTCTTTCCTTCTTATTTTTTATGTCCATCTAAATATAAAGAGTGATAATATTGTCTTTTCAGTTTTCTTTGCTTTTTATTTTTTTTCCTCTCATTTTTTTTTCGTAACTTTTCTTTCCATCCAAATGGAAGGTTAAGTTTGAAATAATGCTTGGTAGTAATAGCAACAATGGTAAAAGCAAACTTCAACCCTTTGTATGCCAAAGGCTTTAAAGAAAACAAATATAATTATAAACCCAAGGTGGTTTGTATATATATCCATTAATAAAAAAACATCGCTATAACAAAAACTTGAATGAGGATGAATCGGTTAGCAGAAAATTTGAGAGTGATTCTCAAGTTAATTTCTACTATTTGAAATGCCTTTAATCTTAGTCGAACATATTGTTGGATTTGTTGATGATCAAGTTATTCGACTTGGGCTGACCCAAAAACAAAAAACAAATTATTCGACTTGGGAATCTACAGTAAATGGAAAAGTTTTGTTTTATATTATGTCGTTGTAGTTAGGTCCATATTGAATGGATGGTGAATATCTATTTTGAATAGTGTATATTTATCTTATTTTTATTTTTAATTTTGAAAGAAATTTAAGATTTTGATCAACTCCATCGAAATGCATCTCCATTTTTGTCAATTTTAATTCCTGATAGTTGGATCAAATTTTAAAAGTTCATATCGATCCTAAAAATGTAAACTTCCATGGATTACTACCGTTAAATATAAAATTTTGCCAAATTTTTATTTCCGTTTCAGATCATCATGGGTGTCAACATTTTATCATTCTGAAATGTAGGGTTTTTGAACAATATATTTCGAGATTAATCCGCTTTTGGAATATCTAGTAAGTACTTAGGCACTTAAGAGTCTCTCATATTTGGATCCAATAATTTAAATTGTTTTGTTTTCGAATTTTCATAAATTTTAATCAAACATCTTTCTTGCTAGTGATAAATCTTCACCATGTTGGAATATTTATTTATTATGGATTAACATT